GAGAGAGAATACAGAGAACTACAAACTCATTAGTCTGTCACAGGAGTAGGGAAAATACTAGAATCTATTATAAAGGATGTGATAACTGGATTTCAGAAATAGTTGTCTATTTGGACAGAGTCAAAATGGATTTATGATGGGGAAATCAAATTTGACAAATCTGATAGATTTTAATTGAAGATTTTACTGGCAGAGTCAATGAGGGTGAACCAGTGGATTTGGTGCATTTGGATCTTCAGATGGCTTTTGATAAAGTTTCTCACTGGAGATCAGTAAAACAGGAGCACATGATGAGAAACTAGCAAGGATTGAAGACTGTTTAACAGAGCAGGGAGTAAAGGTGAACAGATCATGCAAGGTTGGCAGGCTGTGACCAGTAGGGTACCGCAAGGATCAGGGTTGGGCCCCATTTGCTCACAATCTATATCAAATATTGAGATCTGGAGGCCAATTGTGATATTTATAAGTTTTTGGAGGATATAAAATGCTGTAGGATTGAAAGCCATTAGAAGGACGCTAGGGGATTTAACAGGATATAGACAGGCTGAGTGAGCGGGCGAGAACACAGCAACTGGAATACAACCTGGACAGTGCAAGGTTATCCACTTTGGTCAAAGGAATCAAGGTGAAGAGCTTTTTTAAATGGTAAGAGATTGGACAATGTTGATGCCCAAAGGGACCTAGCTGTCTTTGTTCATAAATCATTGAAAACCATCATGCAAGTGTAACAAACAATCTGAAGGCGAATGTTACATTAAGTCTTTATCACAAGAGGATTTGAGTCCAGGAGCAAACTGATGAGATTGTTCCTGCAGTCTCAGGGGCAGTCTTGATAACATGCCTAAGGATATAGTGTCCATACAAGGAGTAGATGCAGAAAGGATATTTGTCCTGGATGTGGGGTCTAGAAACAGGGGACACTGTCTCAGAATGAAAGTAAACCATTTAGGGCTGAGACGAGGAGGAACTTCTTCACTCAGAGTGAGGTAAATCTTTGGAATTGTCTATCCCAGAAGGCTGAGGAAGCTCAGTCATTATGTAAGTTCAAGTCAGAAATTGATAGATTTCAGGCTACTAAGGACATCAAGGGATATGGAAATAGGTGAGTATATGAGGTAGATGATTGGCCATGACCTAGAATGGCACAGCAGGTTCAAGGGCTGAATGGCCTACTCATGCTTCTCTCTTCTTAACACATGGCAGAAATGCACTGCGATGGCTGTAAATTCTGTTGGTAACTAGAAATATATCTATTGTCAATTATAAAATAAAAATCTGTTTGGAATATTCTGTAAAATGTACAGCTCAGAAGCAGTTAATTTGGCTCAACTAATCCATTCCTAGTTCTCATTCCTATGTTAACAATCTGCACAAGTGTCTTCACCTAAAGGCATTTCTCCTGCATTCATTTTAAAACTAGTATTAACCTATAGTTGTTGCCTGGAGGAATCAGGGGAATCTGGGTGAGGGTATTCTATACAAGGGTTCTATAAAATGTATCCTATATTATGTTTTGTTGTGTTTTGAAGAGCAATTTAGCGAATTGTAGAACATTTAACAATGGATTCTTTCAATATACTAGTCTTCCTGCTCCTTGTCATTACTGTGGTGGACAGGGATTATACACATACCATACAGCATGCCAGCAGAATGATGGATAAGGTGTGGATGATTGCCGAACCCAGATGAACTTGATCCTTTTTTGGGCTTAATTCATTGAGAGCTACATTGCATTTTACTGGATTTAAAACATTGGCATGTCCAAAGAAAACAGTAGCACATATATTTTCTATTTATGTTATTCAACATAAACCTTCATTAATGAATGATTTTTTAAAAAATCATTCAATTATTAACTTTAACAATGCAATTTAGTTAAACCATTTTGTCCGCAAAAGGGATGAAGAGGGAATTATAGCTGAACATACAATGCATTGTTTAATATTCAGGGTAACTCAGAGTTCCACAACTGGTGAGCCCAACTGTCATATGATGGGCACGTTTCCTCGTTTCAACCTGAGTGTATGTAATTGCTTCATGAAGGTTGGTATGACTAAGCTATAGATTAGAGGCTCAGAGTGTAATGCAGGGTGATGAAGACTTAAATAGAAGAGCTGGAACTTGTGGAAATGTAGAAACTCAGTGTGAGGAAGAAAGGAACATGAATGTTCGTGAGGGGTAACCTAGATGAACAAGCTGAGCCTGCAACACACACTACCAGGTATGACCTTTGTTGCCTTGCACCTTGATCTGAATGAGAAACATGCAATGTAAAGAAACTGATTGCCACCCAGAGCTAGTAGGGAATAATGGATGACTAGAGATATTGAGGGTCTGGTCAAGAAAAAGAAGGAAGAATATGTCAGGTGTAGAAAGTTGAGATCAAGTGAATCTCTTGAAGAGTAAGAGGGGAGTGGGGGGTATACTTACAAGGGACTTTAGGAGAGCAAAAGGGGATATGAGATAGCCTTGGCAGATAAGGTTAAGGAGAATCCAACAGGTGCTATAAGTACAGTAAGGCCAAAAGAGCAAGGAGGAAGAGAATAGCACCCTTAAAAATCAACTATGTGTGAAACTGCAGGAGATAGGAAAGATGCCAAATGAACATTTTGCATCAGTATTTACAGTGGAGAAAAACTTGGAGGCTAGGGAACTTGGGGAAATAAATATGATATCTTGAAAACAGTCCACATTACAGAAGAGGAGGTGTTGAAGGTCTTACAAAGCATAAAGGTAGATGAATCTCCAGGACCTGATCAAGTGGTTCCTAGGATATTGTAAGAAGCTAGGGAAGAAATTGTGATGCCCCTAGCAGAGATATTTGTATCATCTGCAGCCATGGGTGAGGTGCCAGAAGACTGGAGGGTGGCTAATGTTGTGCCTTTTCTTAAGAAAAGCTGCAAGGAGAAGCTTGGGAACTATAGACCAGTGAGTCTGACATCAGTGGTAGATAAGTTGTTGGAGGGGATTCTGGGATTTGCATGCATTTGGAAAGGCAAGAACTGATTAGGGATAGCCTGCATGGCTTTGTGCATGTGAAATTGTGTGTCACAAAATTAATTGAGTTTTTTGAGGATGTGACCACGAAGATAGTTGAAGGCAGAGTGATAGACATTATCCACATGAACTTTACCACGGCCTTTGACCAGGTTCCCATGGTAGACTGGTTAGTAAAGTTAGATTGCATGGAGTGCAGGGAGAGCTAGCCAACTGGATACAAAATTGGCTTGACGGTAGGAGACAGGGGGTGGTGATGAAGGGTTGTTTGTTGGAACTGGACTCCTGTGGCCAGTGGTGTCCTGCAGGGATCAGTGTTGGGTTCACTGTTGCTTTTCATTTATATGAACGATTTGGATGAGAATCTAGGAAGCATAGTTAGTAAGTTTGCGGATGACATCAAAATTGATGGTATAGTGGATATTGAAGAAGGTTATCTTAGAGTACAATGGGATTTTGATCAGCTGGGCCATGGGCTGACAAGTGGCAGGTGGAGTTTAATTTAGATAAATGCGAGGTGTTGTATTTTGGTAAGACAAACAAGGGCAAGACTTACACAGTTAATGGTACGACCTTGGAGTGTGTTGTCAATTAGTCAGACCTAGGGGTTCAAGTAAGTAGTTTCTTGAAAGTGGCATCATAAGTAGATAGGGTGGTGAAGAAGGCATTTAGCATGCTTGCCTTCATTGGTCAGAGCTTTGACTATGGGAGTCAGGATGTCAAGTTGCATCTGTACACAATGTTGGTAAGGCCACTTTGGAGTATAAGGTACAATTCAGGTCAGCCTGCTCTAGGAAGGATGTTATTAAATTGGACATGGTTCAGAAAAGTTTTACCACGATGTTGCTGGGACTGGAATGATCAAGTTATAAGGAGAGGCTGGGATGTTTTCCCCCTGGAATGTAGGATGTTGAAGGGTGACGTGATAAAGGTTTATAAAATCATCAGGGGCATAAATGAGGTGAATTGGAAGAATCTTTTCCCCTATGTATGAAAGTTCAAAACTAGTGGGCATAATTTTAAGTCGAGAGGAGAAATATTTAAAAGGGACCTGAACAGCAACTTTTTCACACAGAGGATGGTTCATATATAAAATGAACTGGCAGTGGAAGTGGTAAATGCAGGTACAATTATAACATTGAAAGGACATTTGGACAGGTACATGAATAGGAAAGGTTTACAGGGATATGGGCCAAACGCAGGCAAATGAGATTAGTTTAGTTTGGGAAATCTGGTTGGCATGGATGAGTTGGAACAAAAGGTCTATTTCTATGCTGTTTAACTCTATAACTTTAATAGGCCACCGGACCAAGAAGGTGATATGGTAGCCCAGCTGGTTAATGTGAGTAGACAGTGAGGCAAAGTGTAAAAGGAAGAGACTGAACAGGATTACTAAAACATTGGGAGAAGGACTAATTTGAGAAAAATTTGTACAACAACAGTGTGAAATGCAAGTTTATCTTGTGGGCTTGGAATTTGTGGGTGAAATTTAGAGCAATGACTGACACAAACTTCCATTATTCATAAAGAATAAAAACAGTCCCATCCCCTTAATTCAAGCCCAGCTGTTTTATTTTTAGTGTAAATTTACTATGTAAAGTTACAACATTGCAATTAACATACAGACTATAGATATAAATACGAACTAGGAGCAAGAGTAGGTCATTCAACCCTTCGAGCCTGATTTAATTCTGGTTTCATTCTACTTTCCTGGCTACCCACAATAAGCTTAGACAGGCTTGTTATCAAAGATTTGTCTAACTCTTAAAAATATTCAACCACTCTGCCTCCACAGATCTCTGTGGAAGAAAATTCCACATAATAATGACCCTCTGAGAGGTAAAACTTCTGTTCAATTCAGTTTTAAAGGAGCAATTCCTTATTTTGAAACCGTGTCCCCTAGTTACAGTCTCTCCCACTAGACATTCAGGTGACAAGAGCTTTTTGCATAAATCAGCACCTGCAAGAGAGGAAAGAGAAAACCAAGGGAGGATAAAACTTACTTGTCATTAAAGTATTTCATTCTTGCCACTGCATGAATGCTGGCTGGTATTAAAGGAAATCCTGAAAGAGAAGTTATTCAAAGTTAGTATGCACTCCTTGCACTTCAGAAGTTTAATTCATAAGACTAGATCCTCAAGGGCCTTGGGCAGCACGGTGGCTCAGTGGTTAACACTGCTGCCTCACAGCACCAGGGACCTGGGTTTGATTCCAGCCTCAGATGACTGTCTGTGTGGAGTTTGCACATTCTCCCTGTATCTGCATGGGCTTCTGCTGGGTGCTTTCATTTCCTCCCACAGTCCAAAGATGTGCAAATTTGATGGATTGACCATGCTAAATTGCTCATAGTGTCCAGGGGTGTGTAAATTAGGTAGATTAGCCATGGGAAATGCAGGGTTACAAGGAAAGAGTAGGGGGGTGAGTCTGGGTGAGATGTTCTTCAGAGAGTCAGTGTGGACTTATTGCATGGAATTTTTCCACATTGTAGGGATTCTATGAATAAAGCTTGTCAGAAACACTCACCCCTGCCAATGCATAATAAAAAAATCACATGCACTTTCCATCAACCGGTGGAAAATTCAAACAATGAGTTCTAAGATTAAAGTTTTAGGAGAACATCAACTTCTAAGTAAATTATGAAAGAAAGCAAAAGAATTGTGAATGCTAGAAATTAGAAACAAAATCATAAATTGCTGGAAAAACTCTGCAAGTCAGGCAACATCTGTAGACAGAAGACAAAATTAATGCTTCAGTCTAGTGACCCTTCTTCTGAACAGGGTTATTAGACCCAAAATGTTACTCTACTTTCTCTCCACAGATGCTGCCCGACCTGCTGAGTTTGCCAGTAATTTCTGAATTTGTTTCTAAATAAACTAATTGATTGAAAAAGATCACCAAACATCACAATAAATTTAGAATATTAACACACTATGATTGCCAATACCACACTTTGAGACATTTCAACCTCGTCATTGTCATAGAAACATAGAGTCATCTACAACGAAATCAAATGTATTTATGGAAACCTGAACAGCATAGTATATGTTTGTGTGCCGAAGTCAGGTCTAGTGTGGGATCGAGTGATGTTTACTTGCCCATTCTGAGCATCAGGCATTTCTTTACCCTACATAGCTCATTTTAGTGCTGTGCTGTTGCTGACCTCTTAAGAAGATGCCTGCTCTCTTCAGCAAGACAGTAGTAGCCACAAACATGGCTTTTGTCTAATTCCCCCCAGTGCCAGAGGCACTCTGTACCACTAATTGGGCACTGAACTTGCCTCCTGACCAATTGACTTTTGGGAGAAAAAGCCAGGAACTATAGACTAGTAAGCCTGACATCGGTGGTGGACAAGTTGTTGGAGGGAATCCTCAAGGACAGGATTTACATGTATTTGGAAAGGCAAGGACTGATTAGAGATGGTCAACATGGCTTTGTGTGTGGGAAATCATGTCTCACAAACTTGACTGAGTTTTTGAAGAAGTAACCAAAAGGATTGCAGAGCAGTAGATGTAATCTATATGGACTTCAGTAACGCATTTGACAATGTTCCTCATGGTAGACTGGTTAGCAAGGTTAGACCACATGGAATGGAGGGAGAACTAGCTATTTGGATATAGAACTGGCTCGAAGGTAGAAGACAGAGGGTGCTGGTGGAGGATTGCTTTTCAGACTGGAGGCCTGTGACCTGCGGTGTGCCACGAGGATCGGTGCTGGGTGCATTATTTACATCATTTATATAAATGATTTGGATGTGAACAAAGGAGATATGGTTAGTAAATTTGCAGATGACATCAAAATTAGAGGTGTAGTGGACAGCAAAGAAGATCACATCAGATGACAATGGGATCTTGATCAGATGGGCCAGTGGACCGAGGAGGGGCAGATGGAGTTTAATTTAGATAAATGTGAGGTGCTGCGTTTTGGAAAGGCAAATCAGGCAGTACTTATACACTTAATGGTGAGGTCCTGGGGAGTGTTGTTGAACAAAGAGACGTTGGAGTGCAGGTTCATTGTTCCTTGAAGTTGCAGGTAGTTAGAATTGTAAAGGAGGTGTTTTGTATGCTTGCCTTTACTGGTCAGTGCATTGTGTAACAGGAGTTGGGAGGTCATGTTGCGGCTGTACAGGACATTGTTGGGCCATTTTGGAAGGATGTTGTGAAACTTGAAAGGTTTCAGAAAAGGTTTACAAGGATATTGCTAGAGCTGGACAGCTTGAGCTATGGGGAGAGGCTGAATAGACTGGGGCTACTTTCCCAGAGCATCTGAGGCTGAGGGGTGACCTTATAGGAGTTTATAAAATCATGAGGGGCATGGAGCGGATGGGGGAGGCCAAAACTAGAGGCCATAGGTTTAAAGTAATAGGGGAAAGATTTAAAAGGGACCTATTGGGCAACTTTTTCACACAGAAGTTGGTGCATGTATGGAATGAGCTGCCAGAGGAATTGGTGAAGGCTGGTACAATTACAACATTTAAAAGACATCTGGATGAGTATATGAGTAAGAAGGGCTTAGAAGGATATGGGCCAAATGGGAGTAAACTAATTTTGAATTATTGTCAGCATGGATGAGTTGAAGGGTCTGTTTTTGTGCTGTATATCTCAATGACTCTATGAATGTAAAATTTGCAACGTAAGGGTGATAACGAAACAGTGGGATTGTTACCAGAAATTCGTCAGTGTTCAGATGCCAATGTCATGTTAAGTCCTATGTGAATGAAATTCAAACAAATGCAAGACAGAAGAAAACAAGCTTTCGACTATAATCAATTTATGCTTTCTTTTTCTCTCTGTTATGAACTTGTTTTGTTTCTGTAAAAAAGAAATTGCATTTATTTGTCTTGTTTTCTTTTTCCTGATGCCTTGTCTGGTGTTGCACAGCATTTTAACACCTTTAGTTTTATATTTTTTGGCTGCTTTCTGTCTTTGCAACTTTTTCTTTTACATTTACTTTGTTTTTTTTTGCAGCATTGCCTTCCTTTCCTTTCTCTTCTGTCCCTTTCTTCTTTCTTTCTATCTGTCCTGTGTCCTTCCCTTCTTTTCTGCTGTGGTGCTGAATAGCCTACAGAATTTTACCTTTTCCACTACTAAATTAGCAGTCACCCAGTTTACCAGTCCTTTGTTATTGACCCTCTCTTCATGTTTGTATGCAGAGATGTCATAAGGCTCGTAGAAAGTTGTCAATTCCCAGTAATGTGATTTCTTCTGCTCCTTTGATCCGAAAAATAAGAAAAAGAAAATCAAATTTTAACTTGTCAGAAGCAATACATACCCCAACCCAGAAGATAATACCAGTGCAGATGTTGTTCCTCAGCAAATACAGCCACTACAATGAGTGTGTGCAAGTAGATCCCTTCACAAAGCATCCAAAAGTAATTGCAGCCCAACATGTACTGGAGGAAGAAGTGCAGCACTTTGCATCCCACCTGTGGAAGCAGTCACAATCTTGTTTTTAATATTTGTCCATTCAAACAGAACAACAATTTCTATTGAATGCCTGCAGTAAGATTAAGGATAAACTATAGTGTCATTTTCACCTGCAGTTCTCCGGGAAAAAAAAGAGGGACCAAAATTTTTTTTAATTTTTAAAACTATAAAAAACATTTTTAAGAAGGTATTTTGATATTGGTGGCTCATTTTAAGTCAACAAAATCCGATGCTCAAAAAAATGTCCAAACCCATAAGCAAAATGTTACTTCAGTGTTATTTATTATCATGTTTCTGTAGAATAGATAGGCTATATATATTAATTTTATTTGAAGCCATTGCTAAAGATATCCAGTTCAGGACCCCATCAAATCCCCTAACGGCAATGTATCCTCCTGTCTGGTTCATGTATGCAAACAGCAGTTATAAAAATCCACCAAAGCATTCACATCTGCTTGAAATAACTTAAATTATGGCTTGTCAACTCGTATTATGAACATACCAAAAATAGTTAAACGCAGCATGAGAAAGGTATTACTGACATGATAAATCATTTTGTCAAAAACAGCAATAATGTAGCCTATTTTTAAATACACATTAGAGCTCAAACAACGTGGAACAGATGGTAATAATATTACTCATGGACCAGAGTTTGAGTGTAACTGAAAAGTGACCATATATGTTCACTTTGACTGCAGCTCCATCTTTATTTAGGAGCCTTTCATAATGAATTTAAAGTATGGTGAAATAACTGCATAGAGGCCAGTATCCCATCACAAAGTCACCCTTTTTTCACTTGTGCACAGTACACTGGTTGTGGCCAGCCAGTTCGGAGTCAGTCGCCAGGAGATTCTAAACCTCCTGGTTATATTGGTCAGACAGGGCTTCCTGACTGGCTCAGGTTAACAAAGCCAATCCACAATCTCGTAGTCAATGAGATCCGCCTGGTTCAAGTCACGACATCCCTCTCCCACTAAGCCCAGGGATGTACGCCTGGTCTCCTTCTTGTAGCTTTGCCTATGACGTTTTCACCCTAGGTCTGGTTCCCTGATTCATACTCTGACACTGGTGGCATCTAGCAGACCATAGTCCGTCTCTTGCACCTGCAGCGTCTCAAGAGAGTTTCCTCCTCTTCTTCTGGTGGTAATGGTACCAAGGCTATATCCATCTCAGACTCTATGGTTTCCTTGACACTAGATGGACAGGGGGAACCTATGGTTTCTGATGGGCCTTCTGGCTGTTCTCAGGGGCCGGGTATGTTTTGCTCCTGCTCCATTTGCATTGTAACAGCTTTCAGGTGATCCACGTGTTTCTTCAGGACTATATCACCTACCTGAACTTTGTAAGTCACAGGAACTGACCTTGCGTCAACCTCATCCTGTACCTATACAGGGCCGTTTCCATTGTTCTGGGCACCAAACTTCATCCCCTGAATTAAATTGTCTCTCTCGCTTAGAGGAGGCGTGTGGCCGACACTGGTGTTCCTGCTGCCATTTCACCCTCCCCCTCCCCAGGTCTGGGAATATCAGGTCTAACCTGGTGTAGAGTCTTCTCCCCGTCAGCACCTCAGCTGGAGCTATCCCCGTTGTTGCTTGTGGGGTGGTCCTATAATCGAACAGGAACCAGGACAGTTTGGTATCGACTGACACTGTAGGCTGCTTCTTTAATCCTGTCTTCAACTTTTGGACTGATGTTTCCACCAGACCATTGGATGATGGATGGTATGGAGCTGTCCTTACATACCAAATACCATTTGAATTCAACTTTCCTCCAGATCTGAAAGGTAATCTGAAATAACTGCACAGAGGCCAGAATCCCATCACCAAGTCACTCTTTATTCACTTGTGCACAGTACACTGGCCAGTCAGCTCAAAGTCAGCCCCCAGAACTGAGTAGATTCTAAATCCCCTGGTTATATTGGTCAGCCAGGGCTCCCTGATGGGCCCAGGTTAACAACGCCAATCAAGGACCTTATAGTCAATGAGATCCACCTGGTTCCATCACTACACATGGTTTGTTTTCATTTGTTAAAATATTAGATAGAATACAAGATACCTCAGGTGGAATCTTGAAAAGGCAATGAGTCTCAGCTACTGACTAGAGAATGTACAATGCTATGTTGCCTTTTCTTTGGGAAGGCCTGCTGTCTTTTACACAATTCAGGCAGTAAGGTAGCTGCAGGTGTTTCACCAGAATAAAGGCCCTGGGGGAACTGCAGCTCACTGAGAGCTATCAGCCAATCAGAGCCTAGATGTTCTTTGATGTTTTCATTTCAAAAAATACTTTATTTATAAAAATATCTTTATATACATACATCACTACAGCAGTTTGTTTCTGTGTAGTCTTTGCATATTGAGAGCAGACAAACATTGGCCTTTAACTTTCCAGACAGTACCCTAAGAACAAAAAGGCATTTCTTACTAATATAACATATTATTTACACTTATTTGCAGTGCTGGGAGGGTCTGATGACTGAATAGACTCCTAATGTACTTTGGTAGAAAGACCTTAGATGGTGTTTTCTCCCGACTGTGGCCTTGGCAGCAGCTGCCCCAAGCTTTAGTGTGCCCCTAGGTACATAGCTCTGGACTTTGGAATGTGCCAGTCTGCAACACTTGGTCAAGGTCAACTCCTTGCTCTGGAAGACCAACAAGTTTTGAGCATACCAAGTAGCATCTTTCATGAGTTGATGGTCTTCCAGGCGCAGTTGATGTTTCTCATGGTGCGTATCCCCAGGGATCAAACCGTAGAGCAGAGTCCTGCGCCAAAGAGCTGCTCAGGACAAACCTTGACAGAAACCACTGCATCTTTCTCCAAACCTTCTTAGCAAAGGCACATTCCAGAAGGAGATGTGTGACAGTCTCTTCCTCCAGCAGCCACGTCAAGGAAAGCATCCAGTGGTGCAAAGAGTTCAGGTGTACATGAAGTATCTCACAGGTAGTGCCTTTCTCACCATCAGCCAAGTGATGTCCTGGTTCTTGTTGGAAAGTTCTGGTGATGTGGTATTCTGCCAAATGACTTTGACAATCTCCTACGGGAACAACTCAACAGGATCCACCTTCTCTTTTTCCCGCAAGGTCTCAAGGATGCTATGTGCTGATCACTTCCTGATGGAATTTTTTTATTCATTTGTGGGATGTGGGTGTCGTTGGCTGGCCAGCATTTGTTGCCCATCCCTAGTTGCCCTTGAGAATGTGGTGAGGAGCTGTCTGCTTGAACCGCTGCAGGTCTACCTGCTATAGGTTGACCCACAGTACCGTTATGGATGGGTTTGGCCCAACGACAGTGAAGGAACAGCCACATATTTCCAAGTCAGGATGGTGACTGGATTGGAGGGGAACTTGCAGGTGGTGGTGTTCCCATGTGTCTGCTGCCCTTATCCTTCTAAATGGAAGTGCTCATGTGTTTGGAAGGTCTAAGAATGTTTGGTGAATTTCTGCATTGCATCTGTGAATGGTACACACTGCTGCTATTGAGCATCAGTGGTAGAGGGAGTGGATGTTTATGGATCTGATGCCAATAAAGTATGCTGCTTTGTCCTGGAAAGTGTACAGCTTTTTGAGTGTTGTGGAGCTGCATCTATCCAGGCAAGTGGGGAATATTTCATTACACTCCTGACTTGTGCCTTATAGATGATGGACAGGTTTTGGAGGGTCAGGAGGTGAGTTAATAGCCACAGTATTCCTCGCCTCCAACCTGCTCTTGTGGCCGCTGTATTTATGAGGTGATTCCAGATGTGTTTCTGGTCAAAGGAACCTCTAGGATGTTGATAACGGGGGATTTGACTTGTGGTTGAAGGTGTTTTTCTTTGCAAATTTCTCCAGGAAGTAGAAGTGATATGGAGTGGTCCACCTACCTGGAATATTCTGCAACAATGAGGCCAGTCCTGTCCTCTGCAACACGGGGTCTGGTAGAACCTCAGTACGTAGTGACACTTGATGTTTGCATACTGAGGGTCGACATGCTACCTGATGCAACCACACACAAAAGTGGCCACCACATTCTTTCCCCCTTTATCGAGAGTTTTGTACATGGTCTCCCTGCAGAAACAGTCCATCCTAGGCGTCCAGATGATGTGGAAGATGGCTTGGGTGACTGCAGCGGTGTAGGTTCAGGGAATGGGCCAGACCTGTGTCACGTACAACAACAGAGAGAATGCCTCACAGCTGACGACGAGGTTTTTACCTGCAATGGAGAAGGAGCACTGCTCCCAACATCCCAGTTTCTGCTTCATCTTGGCAATGCACTCCTCTCAAGATTTGTGCATGCTGCGGCCCCTCTGAAACATATTGTCAGCACCTTCAGGTAACCTGTCCTGACGGTAAAGGGGATAAAGGATCCATCAGCCCATTTCTCAAAGAACAAGATCTCTCTCTTGCCTCAATTTACTTTGGCTCCCGTGGCTGGTTCAAACTGGTTGCGCTCATGCTTCTGCACGCTGACAGCAGACCTGTTCAGAAATTGTTGATGTCATCCATGTAAAGAGACGCCTTGACATGTAAGCCTTTGCTGCCTGGAATACTCATCCCTCTCAGGCTCGCATCCTTCCTGATGGGTTTGGCAAAAGGCTCCATACAACATACAAACCAAGCAGGAGAGAGTGGGCAGTCCTGCCTGACTCCAGATCTGACTGGGAAGCTTTCTCATTCTCACATACTGTTAGAGACTGCACTAACAGCGTTGGTATAGAGCAGTTGGACTCAATTGCGGATTCCGTCCCCAAAGCCCATTTTGGAGAGCATGTCCCGCATGTGGGTGTGCAATATCCTGTTAAAGGCTTTCTCCTGGTACAGGCTGATGACGTAGGCATCCACCCATCTCTCCCCACCCCCAACCCTCCGCCACCACCCCCCCACCCTGGCTTCTATGTAGCTGATGGTATCCCCAAGGAGTGCGAGGCTCTCAGAGATTGTTGTGCCCGGTACTGCAGAGGTTTGGTTGGGGTTAATCACAGATCCCAGAGCAGATCTGACTCAGTTGATGATGACCTTAGAATGGA